GAAATGGATATGGGAGGCCACCAAGGATCTTATGAGAATATTCGAATGACTGTGATTTGGGATTTTGGGATTTTTCAATGGCTTCCCGGCCATGGACTTGTTGACTCTGCTGGGCAATGCTGACTCACCACTCCCAGTACTAAAAGTAGATGTGTAGAAATTGGGAAGAAGTTGCCTTCATCCCTGCAAGGATTTATTTTTTATCACCCTCCTTTGGAAGGAGAACAGGCTCTCAGAGTTTAGTTCTCTTCTCTTCCCCAAAAGTAATCGCAATCCCTTCCTGTGAGTAAAACTGCAATATTTCCAGAATCTTTTGCCTGGCTTTAAGCACATTTTCGTATCAATAGGTGTTTCCAAGGGGTGGAGAGAAGTAGTCATCTCCATATCAATAGGTAATTACATGGGCAAGCGAGGGCTTATCTGGGCCAGAGAGGTTGGGTTGAGCTCTCTTCTGCTGCAGCCAGGTTGAAAGAATGGTGGGATGACTGCTTGTAAGAAATAAACAGGTTTCTTAAACTTTATTTCTCCCTTAGACTGATTTTGGTTTCAAAGGTATTTTGCCCTGGGATTTCCCCCTCTGGAGTTACACTTCCCATCAGGTCAGAGGAGTAGATCCTCCTCTCTCCTGACTTCTGCTCAAGACTCCTACAATGTCATTGCCTTGAAGAGCAGTGAAAGGTCCAAAAAAGTCAGAGAAGGGCTCATTCTGGGAACTAGAAGGTCAATTAAAAGTTAAGATGAAATGTTTTCAGAATGTTTATCCCATAGGGAACTTAGTGGGGAAGCTGTGGCTGTAGAAAAGTAGCTGGGGAAGAATGAGGAAAAGAACACACCAAGAGCAATTAATTGCCCTCTGGGGATTCTTAGATTCTGGAAAGTTGTCATCTAAGACTGACAAAGGGAAACCTCCATCCCCCAAAATAGGATGGACCACTGCTTCAAGGACTTGGTGAGAAATGTGCCGCTTCTCCATCTGTTCTGTGCATGAGATGAGCACCCAGCCTCGGTGAGTCCCCCACAGGGAAGGTTAAGGGGAGATGGTGTGAAGATAGAGCTCCAATACCTAGGAGCAGCCAGGACTGCCTGGGATCCTCCACTGATCTCAGTGATTTTAGTTGGAGGCTCTTTGATTCTTCCCAGAATCTACACAATGCAACTTATTGTTTTTGAGCCACTCAGTAGAGTCCTCTGTCTTGGTCAGATATCCAATTAACCATATAACCTCCAGTGCTAGTATACACAAACACATTCAAAGAACTGAAGAGCAGAGATCAAAAAGTTAAGGCTGTTTTCTCGGCCTCGGGGTATTTGCATTATGCTGGCCATAAGAAAAAAGGGAGAAGGGCTGAGTGAAGAATAACAACCAAAAATAAACATAATCCCATCTTTTCTTGAAAACAAGGAAGGTGAATATTCTCAATCATTACGAAGCATAACTCTTATGGAACTAAGGCAAGTTTGGTCCCTGGTCTGACGGACCTTGTTACAGGTCATCGCATTATAGGAATTACCTAAGACTGACTTTGGAAAGAAGCCTACAAGTCTGAAGTCTTGGCCCGAGTGGTTCTCCCATTCCTGTCTGTAGGGCCCCTTCCCTACCTCCTTAGCTTCCGATTCCTAGTCAACCTGGTCCATTCATTGGTACCTCCCCAAACATTACGTGTGATGAGAATGCTTTGACTCCCCAAACCCAGTAACCCATAATATCTTATAACCCACAGTCCCACTAGCTATGTATACTCAGAGTGATCAGGGATGGAAAAATTTCTTTGCCCTTTTATACTGCTTTAAACTACAGCCTACATGTACTCATTTATTGCAGATCTTCAGAGCTGGGAGAAATCTTGGAGTTTACCTCAGCAGCTCACTGCAGACAAAAAACTATGGCTCAGAAAGTAATGATTTACAGTGATACGTAGGCAGTTTATTGATACACGCTGAAACCCAGGTCTTCTTACTACTGACCCGCAGGCACCCTAAACCACTTCTGCATTTTGAAGAAGCAAATGTGCTGGTTGATTCTTTGCTTCTACTTCATTATTTCTATTTATCTGCCTGGCTGTTTACACAGTCTGACTCCACGCCTCCAGTTACCAGAGCTGATAGCTTCCTCTGAGGACTCTGATGAGGCCATGGTAACTCACCCTCTCTCCCCTCCTGCCAAGCTGAGCTCCTAGAGAGGGAGACCGGGCTGCACTGAACCCTGCTACCCCAGCACCTGCCCCTGGACCAGGCACTGCTCAGTGTTTAGTAAATGTTCTCTAAGTCAAGCAAAGTGGAATGAAACGCTCTATTATCCCCCAAAACTGCAAACAAGGCCATCTATTAATAAAAAGTTTACCATCATCTAGAAACAGCATCAAAAGCTTACTGGAAAAAATGTTAATACCATTTATTTATTTAACCAGCTATTAGGTGATTGAGGCAATAGAATTTATTATAAAGGAGCTTCATGACCTGCATTCTATTAACTTTCTGGCCTTTATAGCCCATATTAGTACTGTTTCTTGTCCCCATGTCCCTGGGCAGAATTTACCTCAGTGCAATGGACTTGTTGTGTATAGTAACAGCCACTTATGTTTCCTTAGTACTTTACAAAGCACATTCATACTGATATCATCTGATCTTACTCAAAATACTTTGAGGCAGGCATTATTATTATCCACACATTTCAAATGAAGAAACTGAGGCTCAGAGATGTCACGTAACTTGTCCAAGGCACATAGCAGGCTAATGGAAGAGGCAACCTAGAACCTGGATCTCTTGACTTCTCATTCAAAGTTTCTTCCACTCACCACATTGCATTTCTCTACATGGCAAGGTAGCTGTCCTGGGCCTCCAATCCAGGATTCCTCAGGTGCCTCCTTTCTGAGGCCATATCCTTGAAGAACACCCTGCCAGCCTCACTGCTGGGCTCAGTGAAAGCTGAGAATGTGCAGTGCAGCCTTAAACCTTGTTCCGGCTTCGTTCCCAGGAAGATCTGATCTGGGGCCAATCACCTCACCCCTGTTCCTTGGTTTCCTCATCTGTAAAATGCTAAAATGCAGTGGATGGAATGCTTGGTCTCTATGGTTCCTTTCACTTATAATGCTTTTTATTTTCTTGCAGAATAATCGGGCCCTTCAAGAAGGAATCTAGATCCATGACAGTATCTTTGAAGGTGAGGATTGTGGATGCTGTAGCAGCCTACTGGTCATAGTAAATCAGAGCCGAGTTACTTCCTCTGCTGACACAAGGACCAGGCTCCGTGGGCACCCACAGGCTTGCTGGGCAGTGCTCAGAAGCCTGGCCACCAGCCGCTACCCTCGAACCTGGTCTCCAACCCTGAGGATCTAAGGTCAGTTTCTATTCTGAGCTTCTACAGTGACACCTTCTGGCCACTGCACGACCAGGGCTGAATGGAAGGCAGGAGAAGCCTGCTCTACCCAGGCTCTGCTCTGTCCAGCCACCAGTAAGAGGCCAGGCCACACTCCCAGCCAAAAGAAATGTGAACTGAATTACGTTTTCCAATTCTGTTGCATTTGATTCTGTGGCTCCACTCTGCTTTTCTTAACACTGATGTACTACATGTGTCCTTCATTTTGCTGTCTCATTTAATTCTCACAGATTTTACCAAGATCTGCTTTTCAAATTTCTTCTTTGATTCTGTTGCACTGCTGAATTTCTAAACACAAATTCCTAACATTGAAAGGAATTTCCTAGAGGTTGGTTGAAAGCCCAGTGCTCATACACTCAATTAATATTCTAAAATATAGGTTAATTAATTTATTAATTATTTTAAGAGGGGAAATACACCCTGAGATTATATTTTTAATAAGTAAAAAAAGGTGATATTTAATTCTATTTTTTTTTGAGAGGGCATCTCTCGTATTTATTGATCAAATGGTTGTTAACAACAATAAAATTCTCTATAGGGGACTCAGTGCACAAAGCAGGCTGTTCAACATGTTGGGTCAACCGGTGAGATAACCCAGCACAATCTTTGCTGACACAGGAGAACTCACTTCCTTTATGAAGACTCAGTGGGTTTCAGTCACTTTATACTCAGTAGTAACATGTCAGTATCACTGGTTTCCAAATGCTCTCATTACATTATTTTAAGCACTTATTTAAACATCTAAATAAATGCCTGCAACTTCCTATATAAATTGTACATTATTAAGAAGACATAGCTGCAGCGATAATTTAATTACAGCTACAAATTTAATTAACCAACTAGTAGTCTTGTTCTCCTTCATAGCAATTACCACAATTATGCTTAATTAATTTTTGTAATTATGGTAATCTCTGTCCTGATTAATTTGTAAGAACCAAGGAAGTAGGATTCATGCTTTTGTGTTCCTTGTTCACAGACAGATGTCTGATGTTTAGCATAGTTCCTGGGTCCTAGAGGGGCTTAACAGACATTGGCTAACGGATTTAAGCTCCATCTGGACTGATGGGCACAATGACAATGATGTGAGACACTCCTTTCTGGGCATGAGCCTGGGGAGACCTGGGACTCTGCCCTTGGTCTCCAGGGTCTGATCACCACACCACACCTGCTACTCCCCGACACTGAAGAGTCCTTCCTTTCTTTCCTACCTTCCACTTTCCTTACTCCTTTTCCATTTTCCTACTTTCCTTAGTTTTTCTTTCTCTTTTATTCTCCTTTGTGTCTTTCTTCTATCCTTTATCCAGCACTTTTTCTCGCTGTCATTCCTTCTTGACTGATGGATTGTCTCCTATATTAATCTATCTGTGCTGGATCCCAGACATAAAAGCATAAGTAGAACCAGGACGTTATCTTTGGGAATCTCACAGTCCAGTGAGAACCCACTGTCCCTTTCTCCAGTACCTCACTGCATCCTCGCCTCACCACCTCAGCTAAGAAACTCAGGTCAGGGTCCCGGCTGCAGCTCCAGTCACAGCCCAGGGCTTAAGCCCCAGCTCCTGAAGGTGCTTTTTACTTGCTGCTTTCTGACTCTGCCCTTCTCCCAGCAGCTTTGCCCACCTGCTTCATGAGGAGGGGCAACCTGACCTGGGGGAGTGAGTTTGTCCTTCTGGGGCTCTCCAGTGATGGGCAGACCCAGGCTGGACTCTTTATTCTGTTTGGGGCTACCTACCTGCTGACCCTGTTGGGCAACGGGCTCATCCTCCTCCTGATTGGGCTGGACGCTCAACTGCACCTGCCCATGTACTTCTTCCTCTGCAACCTCTCAGTGGTAGACATCTTCTCCGTCTCAAGCGGAGTCCCCCAGATGCTGGTGCACTTCTTCCTGGAGAAGAAGACCATCTCTTTCACCCGATGTGGGGCCCAGCTCTTCTTCTCACTGGCCCTGGGAGGGACTGAGTTCCTGCTGCTGGCCGCCATGGCCTATGACTGCTATGTGGCTGTCTGTTACCCCCTGAGCTACATGGCCATGATGGGCCCAAGGCGCTGTGCAGGGCTGGCAGCTGTCTCTTGGCTTGTGGGTCTGGCTAATTCTGCAGTGGAGACAGCAGTCACCATGCACCTTCCCACCTGTGGGCACCACATGCTGAACCATGTGGCCTGTGAGACGCTGGCACTCATTAGGTTGGCCTGTGTGGACATAACCATCAACCAGGTGGTCATAGTGGCCTCTAGTGTGGTGGTGCTTCTGGTGCCCTGCTGTCTGGTCTCAATGTCCTATGCCCACATTGTGGCTGCCATCCTACGGGTCTGCTCTGTGGGGGGATGCCACAAAGCCTTCAGGACCTGTGCCTCCCACCTCACTGTGGTCTCCATGTCTTATGCGATGGCCCTGGTGACCTACATGCAGCCTCACTCCACAGCTTCAGCAGAGCAGAGCAAGGTGGTGGTGGTCTTTTATGCTGTTGTGACTCCCATGCTGAATCCATTCATCTACAGCCTGAGGAACAAAGAGATAAAGGCTGCTGTGGGCCGAGTTCTGATGAAAAGCTTTGAATCAAAATTTTAGTATATGACTGTCATAAGAGGGCCTCACTTTGAACACAGTGACCATTGGAGTTTCCCTCTGCCATGATGTGTGCATGTCCATGTACATGTGTGTTTGAATATGTGTGGGCATGTGTATGTGCATAAGGGCAGCAAGAAGACCACAATCTGGACCACTATCATTTGAGGTGGAGAAGTGGGATTTTATCTCTGGACTCTATTTTGGTCCCTGACTTATTCTAAAAAGTATTAATTACAACTTAGAAATACACAACACCCTACAGAAAACTAAATGGAAAACAAAAATGTAGCAGCATATGTGAACTTGAAAGGAAGATTAAATCAGATTTTAGGGCAGTGCACAAAACTTATGCCACAAAAGTCTATTTCCTTGCTAAAATCTACAACTATATGTCTAAGCTTTTCTGTGATCAGTGAGAAAAGTCAGAGGGCTCATGAGTGTAGAGGGTGGGGGAACTCTAATTTAAAAAACTCAGTGTGCACGCTTGGATCAAACAGGCCTTAGGTCAAAGATGCAAAGGTCACACAAGTGACTCATACATGGTCAGCCCAGCTCGGTAGGGTGGGGAATTCCCACAAGGACATGGAGCAAAAATCATGCTAATGATCCTCCCACCCCTGATGGGCAGACTGGACTGTGCCATGTGGATGTCACTGCATGTTTCTCTCTTAGACTTGCAGTGGTTGCAAACAGCTGCCAAAAGTCATATAGGACCTCAAACACGTATCTTTCTACACAATCAACTCTAAGGCTATATACTCTTGTGAAAAAATAAAGAGATGTATTCAGAACTCAAATTTGACTAGACTATCATGCCACGCACCACCTGAGGTGAACTCATCATTCAGCACGGGAAGAGTCAGTTTTCCACTACTGTTAATTTCACTCTACTGTTTAACACACAATTAATGATTGATCTCTAAACATCCTAAACCACAAGTAAAGTAGTGACAATTTTATCCAGAAAAGGTTTAAAACAAGACTTAATATCAAAATAAAGCATCTCTTACCCAATATTACAGATCTCTGGTTTGTCCTACACACAAAAAACAACAAAAGAAAAACCCATAAATTGAGAACAATTCAGACTTCTAACCAACCTGCTGAGAAAATGCTAAAAGGTTGAGGAGGAAATGGAGTGACCTTTTAAATTCCTAGCAGAACTTCTTTTTTAATTGAAGTAAAATTGACATAGTACATGATTCATGATTTTAACTATTTCAAGGTATACAATTCAGTGGCATTCAGGACATTTGGAATGCTGTACAACCTCGTGTCTATCTAAAACATTTTCACAATGCCAAAAGGGCACCTCACCCCCTCTAAGCAGTTATTCCCCATTCCTTCCAGTCCCTGACAACTACTAATCTGCTTTCTGTCTCTACAAATCTGGACACTTCATATTAATGGAATCATATTATATGTGACCATTTGGGTCTGGCTTCTTTCACTTAGCACCGTGTTTTTGAGTTCTATCCATGTTGTAGCATGTAGCAGTACTTCATTCCTTTATTATTACTGAATAATACTCCACTGTATATAAATAATCACATCTTGTTTATCCATTCTTCACATGGCGGACATCTGGTTCACTTTTACCATTTTAGCAGTGCTACTATGAACATTCATTTAGACATTTTTGTTTGAACACTTGTTTTCAGTTTTTTTGGGTTCAATTCCTGGAGTGGAACTGCTGGATCATATGACAACTCTATGTTTACTTTAGAGAAATGACATGCCAAACTGCTCTCCATCACAACCAAACCATTGCACATCCCCACCAGCAATGAAGGAGGGATACAATCTCCCCACATCCTTTCAACACTTACATTCTGTTTCTTTGCTTATAACTATCCCAGCGAGTAAGACATGATAGCCCACTCTATCTTTAACTTTCATGTCCCTGATGACTAATGATATTGAACACCTTATCGCATGCTTTTGGCCATTTGTCTATCTTCTTTGGAGAAATATCCAGCAAAACTTATTTTCATTTTTTATTTAAGACCCTCCTTCACTCCCCTCCCTTGAGCATCCCCTTCTTTCACTCCCTCAACCTCTTCCCACCTCCTTCTTCCCATCCCACCAGAGCAACTGCCCTCCCTGCTCCTTCCCCCACTCCCATCTGAGCTGCCCAGCTCCATCCCCCCAATTTTTGACTCTCATTTTTAGACCCTTCTCTAACTATGAATTTCTCTCCCTAGATCAACAGATAACCTTTCCCTTTCTCTATTCCCTCTCAAAGATCTTTCCCCCAACCAAAGCCTCCATGTTTAGGTATATGCCTGTCCTTTGCCCAGGCTCTACATTTTGTACACCAAAGAAATCTCAAGAGTTCTTCCTCCTTGCTTGTGAGGAAGAACAAACTATAAGCACTTATAATTTAATGTATTTTCCTTTATCTTCATCACATTTTAATGGAACATCTAGCTTTAAGCAGTGTGACATCCTAGTATACCTTCTAACATAGCCTGGCTATAAAACAATCACCAAAAATGGGTAATCTTTGTGTATGAGTTGCTTTTTTTATATATAAAGCCAGTTAAAAATTGGGAAGTGTCAACCAAAAACAATGACGTTGGTTATATATTGGTTGAGCTATAATCCTTCATTAAATTCCAATATAGTAGGGATAATAGTCTATTAAGACATATTCTAATCATAATAATTAAAACATCTTTTGTATATAAAATAATACTTGTATTCTATTGTCCACAGCATGAGTGCATACATTTAGTATATCCAAAGAAGACATCAATTCATTAAGTTACAGGTTAGGAAAAGGGAGAATGGGTACAAAATATTGTTTTTGTTTGAATTTTAGAATTTAGAATTTTTGTTTTAGTCCTTGTCTCTTTAAAGAGAGATTCAGTGTATTTAAAGGACACATTAATAATCAGAAGAGAACAACTGTTTGGTCCTCAGGAGACCCTTCTGAGTGGAGCCATTCTTGAGATGTTACTAAGAAGCAGACTCCGAAAACACCAACAAGAAGGTTCTAGACTGAGCTCCTAGGTTAGAGAAAGAAGTTTAAAGAAACCACTCCTCAATAAGATGTTCATTCAGTCCACCAACTCTATATGCCAATCTCTGTTAGAAATAAGAAACAGATAAAATAAAACAAGAAAACACCCTCTCTCCTTTCAAGCACTTAGCTTGTCAGAATTTAGAAAAGGGAAGTGAAGCAGCCAGGCTTAGTGGATGGATTTTTCCACCTCTACCTCGCAGCTGCAGAGAGTTGAGAGTCCAGGTGTGCGGGCTCCATGCTCTCACTGAACTGTGGGGTAGATATTTCCCTTTTACAGATAAAATGGAAAGAGGTCAGGTGATTTGATGAACTGGACTTCCAGTCCACTCACCTGTGTGGACTACTTTTTAGCCTGATCCCATGCACTACTTTGTGGCAGTTCAAAGCCTCCACGTAGCACTTCCAGGAGCAGCATCCCAAACCCTGTGCACTTCCTGGCATCTCCCTCCCCTCATAAATCAAACCTGTCCGGATGGTCATCCCAAGGGGATGCTGCTCCTCACTCACTGCTGTGCCAGCCTCCTCACCCCCCGGGTGATGACACAATGTGCTGCAACAGGAAGGGCACGGGAGCTCCCGCTCCAGCTCAGCCCCTGGGTGGCAGAAGGGCCTTGTGCCAATCACTTCTGCTCTCTCAGCTTCAGTTTCTCCATTTGTAAAATAACAAGGTTCAAATGATGAGCCTAAGAGTTCCCTCCAGCTTTCCTTTCTTTCTGTGATTTTCATTTTCCATTTTATTCTCTTCAAAGGTGAGAACTTCACTTGCTGTTTTCAGCACTGAGGAGTCATATTTGGGGACTAAAGTTTGGTTACTTACTGACAAAATAATTAGGTTCTGTGGAAAGCCTGGGGCTCCCATCCCAGGTGCAGGCTCCAAAACTCAGCTGGGTATCATGCCAAAGCCAATTTCTATTCTTAGCATTTTTCTACAGCAACATGTTCTATTCACACAAGGACTAGCAGAGGAAAAGGGTAGGTTCCAACTAGCTAGAAAAGAGGGGGGATGGCACCCAGCTGCTCTGTCCCCTTCATGCCCATCCAAGCATGAGACTTGTCTTCAGTTCAAAGCGTTGGGTTGAATGGTTTTACTTCCTTCATTGACTTCTAGGCCCATCTCTTGTATCTTTAATATAAATTCTTTGCTTTGGATAAATGCTCTGCAATTTATGAAGGACTTTCTCACACAGTATTTCATTTGATACTCACTAGTTCTCCCCTGGGTCTGATATTCTAGATCATTGTTTTTGAAACAGACCTAAGAAAGCTAAGGCTAAGGGATACTTAACACACAAAAGGCAAGATACCTGGGATCACTGTTTCACCGATTCACTAGGATATGAGGCAAATCATTTAAACTCTCCTGGCCTCAGTCCTAAAACAAAGAGTGAGAAGTTTAGCCCCAAGCATCTTTTCCCCCAAAGTCTTTCCTAGGTTTATCTCAAAATACAGTCCTCTCTCAAAAACCCCTATCTTAAATCTTCAAAATTAAGGTTAAAAGTCCCCTCTAAAGTAGTGATTCTCAAACTTAGCTTCTTGGTTTTTAACTACTTGGGAAACATTAAGTTACTAATATACTAATATCTGTGTTTGACCCACCTGAGACTGTGACCTAATTGCTTTGGGTGTAGACTGGGCTTCCGGAGTTTTCAAAGTGTCCCAGGTGACTGCAGTGTGTAGCCACTGTGGAAAGCACTGCTCTAGTACCCACCGTGGGAACTGTGGGATCTTCACAGGCAAACCTGAGCATCTGGAGTTTTTTCCTTCCTTTTCAAGCTTCCCCTAGTAGCACCGAAATGGGCTTTTCCAGCAGTCAGACTCACCTCCATGCCCTGTGCTCTCTCCTTATTCCCATACCAGCCAATGCACTCACTACCTTCTCTCCCCATGTTGCAAAGACACACAAGGTGAACACTGAAATGCTATTAATAAACAAATAAATAAAGAATATCAAATTGCTTAGTACATTTGTGCT